CTGTCATAAAGTTAACCCTCCAGATCCAAGGGGGCTCTGACTAAAAAAAAAAAAAAAAAAAAAAAGAAACCAAACCCCAAGACACCTTCATCTCAGACTTCTAACCTACAGAATTCTGATTAAGAATTCTGTCGTTTCTGTTGTTTAAGCCTGTGGTTCTCAACCCCCAGGCCGCACAGGTTCCCTGGTCTGTTAGGAGTCAAACAGCAGAGCTCCGGGAAGAAATGTCTTCTATAAAACTTAGAAACAGGTCGCACCGCAGGTGGTGAGCGCCGAACGACCAGCAAAGCAGCTTCAGCTTCCGTATTTAGAGCTTTACATCTGATCCCTATCACTCGCATCACTGTCTGAGCTAACCCACCCACCTTGTCTGTGGGAAAAGTAATTTCCACTAAACGGGTCCCAGGTGCCAAAAAGATTGGGGACAGCTGGTGTAAGCTGCCCTGTATTTTGTTATGGCAACCCTAGCAAAATGATACGCCTAATTCTGACCCAACACTGATCAATTCTCAAGTAAAACTTTATCACCCACATACACCCATCCTGGGGTTAATATTACTCACAGGGTTCTGTCTGTACCCCTTTCAACTTTCACGCACTCATCTAAGCAACAAGCACTTAGCGACCACCACAGTATGCCAGACCTTGTCTTAAGGGCTGAGAACAACTGCAGGGGTCCTCAAACTTTTTAAACAGGGGACCCAGGACGAGTCGGCTGCTAAGCAGAACAGGCAGCGGCGGCAGAAACAGCCGGCGGGCCCGATAAATGTCCTAGGCGGGCCGCAGTTCCAGGACGCCTGATTAGGTTTACTGAGCACTTACTACGTGGAAGATGCCGTGCGGAGCGCTAAACACGAACCAACTCATGAAATCCGACAAGGACCCAACGAAGTAGGCCCTGCTATTTCACCCGTTCGACAGATGCGGGGCTAAGGCTCAGATAGGTCATCCCATAATGAGATCTAGCTAGGCTATGAGCTCTCTAGTCTCAGGCACTGCTCTCAACTAGTGTGATAGAGGCAAACAGGAACTAGATGGGCAGGTCAGGGTGGGAGAGTAGCAGGCGGGCTCTTCGTGGGCAACGCCTGGAGAGGAGAGGAGGCCAGGTGAGGACACGGTTGGTGTTTCCAGGCCGAGGCAGCTGCACGAGGGAGAAGGCCCGGCTCCCAGCCTTCTGCGTTTCTGTCGGTGTCCCCACCCGCTCCGGTGTCGCGCAGAGAGCAGAAGCTCGCCGACCCGCGCAGCAGCCGCCAGCTCTCCGTTCACCTCGCAAAGCTTCCTCCCACCCCCGAGATGCGGAGGCGGCGGCGGGTCCGTGCCCCGCTGGGCCACCCTGGGCGCCCAGCCTCCCCTCCGAGCCGCTCCCACCGCGAGGACCCCAGTCACTTTACCCGCGGAGGCCGCTCTCTGCCCTGCAGCCTCCTCTGCTACTGAAGCGGCCGCCATCAGAGCCGCGCGTCCCGCGGTGCCAGCCCCGGAAACATCCCGGCAACGCCCCCTCCGCGGGCTGGGCCCGCCCGCCAGCTTCCGGTGGCGTCACTTCCGTAAGGACCGCAGTGCGCAGGCGCACCGAGAAGCATCTGCGACGTGACTTCTGCTCCAGGAAGCCCTGGCGGTGGCTGTGGCTCTCGTTGGGCGGGCGAGACTCCACGTGCTCCCAGCAGGCCGGTTAAAACCGTTGGCGGGCGCTGGCCGAGAGGTGAGGGGCAGTGACCCAGAGGTCCGATGTAGGAGGTTGGAGCTCAGAGAGTGAGGACGTAGGGGCGGAGAGGCCGGTGCCCATTTTCCCCCACTGGGGAAGTCTTTTCCGGTCCTATTGGTGCTCGGGACAGTGGCCAAACTCCTAAAACTTGATCCTGGGCCCCCTTCTCGGCCCTGAACAAACCAGGACGGGTGGTGACCGCTGGACAGGCCTTCAGGCGTGCACCATGAGGGGGACAGGGCCCTTCTGGATGTCTTGGGGTGTTCGGTCCCTAAGGAACAGATCTTACGGAGTCACAGGGAGGGCACAGATTAGGACCTGAATGTAACTGCGTGTGAATCTGGGTTGCCACTAACTGGATGTGTGACCTGGTGCAAGTTACTTAGCCACTTTGTGCCTCAGTTTCCTCATCTGTCTAAAGGAAATAATGTAGAACCTAACTCTTAAGACTGATGAGAATTACATGAGTAGAAACGTGTTACCACTCGTGCCTAACTCTCAGGACTGATGAGAATTACGTGAGTAGAAACATGTTACCACCCGTGAGAGCACTTGGCGCATAGTAGGTGCTCAATAAGTGCTACTATTTTCTGCAGTACCTTTCTCTGAGGGGTGACAGGGAAGAAGAATGAGATGGGCGTGTAAGTATTTGCAAGCCTAACTTTGCTGCAGAGAGTGTCCCTTTGGCACTTGTTAATACTTTGCCTAGCGCCTGACACGTGGTAATTATTCCAGTGAAGGGATGCTTTTTAAAACAATGCTGGTGATGTAGTAGGGGTGGGGGGCTGTCTAGAGATGAGAGAAATGGCTTAACTTCTTTAAACCTCAGTTTGTTTACCTTTTAAATGGAGGCAATGCACCTATTGCTAGGATTTTTGCAAGGACTAAGGAGCACATTGTAACCCTTGTCACCCACACATTCAATAAAATAAATAATACAAGAATATAAAGAGAAGAAAGTAAAACAAAACAGAAACTACAGATTCCAATCCCAGAATGAAACCTAAGGGTATATTATCAGGGACTAGGGTGAGGAGCCAGAGAAGGCTAGTGTGAATTTATGAAGATAGATGTGTGGGTTGAGGGTCATATTTAAGGAGCATGGGTTTGAGAGGGGATTGGGTCGAATAGCATTGATGTGTAAATCAGTAGGTTACTGGGAAACCTTTCTATTGCGAAAGGATGGAGCTTTCACATCTTGGTATCTTATTTAACTTTCTACACAATCCTTTGAGATAGATATTAGACCCCTTTTACAGATAAACAGATTCTAGGATGTTAATGATCTTTTGACATCAGCAGATGCAGGCTTCAGCTCAGATCCTCTACCCCTGAGTCCAGAGCCATTTCACCAAAACATGGTGACCATCTTTTGAGGGAAGACTAAGATGCCTGGAGTCTTTTGCAAATTCCCAGCCTCTTACAACCACTGGTTGCTTCCTTGGATGTTGCTGACCAGCACCTGGCAACTTCCTCAGTGTCGTGCCCAGTGTGGGCCGCTTTAGAATTAAGACGTAGGGTCCTATGAAAGGTCATCTATTAGAGCCTTTACTTTTTTTTCATCTTTGGATAAGCAGCTGAACAATGGCCGAGCAAATGGCAAAGACACTAGAAGTCAACACAGAGGCAGGGCAGGAACTTGGGCTTGTCACTTGCTCTTTGAGGCCACCTCTGCCTCTTCCTGTGACTTCAGGCAGATCACTTAACCTCTGAGCTTCCGTTTTTTTTCTGCAGACAGTGGTGGCATGGTCCTGGATGGTTTGAAAGTGTTGGGTACAGTTGTGCTTGTTCATGTGAAATGAGCTAATGATCTTGGGTTCTTTTGTTTAGGCCTTTGTCATCTTTTCCTCAGGTATGGCAGGTGATGAGAGCCCAGTAAATTGACCTTACAGGCAGGGGAATAGACAGCCAGAAGCACTCACAGAGGGCTTTGAGGGCACCCAGGTGTATCTGGGTTGCTAGTACTGGCATAAACTTAGCATTCAGTAAATGTCCTGCTGAAATGAGTAAAAGGCTGAGAACTGGAGTGTGCTCTCACCAGTCCCAAGAACACTGCTTTCTACTTGCCATCTCTTTTATCATGCTCACATATCTAGAAGGAAAAGCAGGTAGAATTTCTGTGGCTGTATTGGGACCTGACTTTTGGCAGCCAGGGAAGGAAAAGGGGACTCTTTTTTAGGCTCAGTTCTATAAAAAAAATGCTGACCTTTTACACTTAGGGCTAAAAATTGAAAGTAATCTCTTCTGGTGTTCTCAAAGTCTTAATTTAGCTTTGAGCTTTCATAACTTCAGAAGCACAAATGTTGCAGATTTACCAAAACATTGTTTGAAAGTTTATTTACATTTCTTCCATGTTTATATGTTCTTGTGAAATTTGAGTAATATGTTTTACTTTTTTATTTTAGGCAATGTTTGCTATCTTCAATTAGAAGGATTGAGTTTCAACAGGATGACTTTTTGTAAGTGTATAGCCTTTACACGTTTGAAACTATTAAGCTTGCATTGAGACTCGGACCCCTGTCTGCTGTGCAGTTAAGCTGGGTTGGATGATTTTGAGTTTGCTTTTCTTTTCAGCTTAAATGGAAGGTATTTTTTCCAGGGTTAGGTTGGGGGAAAGGTGCTGGTGTGTCCTCGGGGCTCTGAATAAGGGAGAAGTAAGCTCCTTACAGACTTTAATCTCATTAGCCAACCAGGTGGACGCACTGTTCCCATTTCATGTCAAGTGTAAAAATCCAGACTAAGGCAGGAAGAGATGGAGCTCTTTCTGTGCAATCCACCCATTCCTGTCTTGAAAAATAAAAGGCCAAATGACAATGGTTGGAAATATTTTTCAGATGGACATGTGACCAAATTCTAATCCTTTCCTGAATTGATATTTAATTACACTGTGTGTGGCTAATCTCCAGAGGAGTAGTGTGTTTTGCACAGATATTCTGAGCATCTTTTTGTCCACATCACTGCCTTTTTTTAGTTGTAAAGTTTTTTTTTGTTTGTTTGTTTTTTGCAGTTTTTGGCCAGGGCTAGGTTTGAACCCTCCACCTCTGGCATGTGGGGCCGATGCCCTACTCCCTTGAGCCACAGGTGCCACCCAATACAGTTTTTAAATTCTCAGTTTATACAACAAGCTATCCAGCGGGGAGTCTCCCAGTTGTGTTCAATCCTAGGGCTTGCTGAGACCTTTCTCTCTCTATTCTCCCTTCTTCCATCAAGAAACAGAATAGTCTATAGCAACAAAATTTGCTCAGGATTATCTCTAAGCGATATCTGCATTTCAGGGTTTTTTTTTCTTTTTTCCTTTTTCTTTTTTTTTTTTGAGACAGTCTCACTCTGTCATCCTGGGTAAAGTGCTGTGGCATCATAGCTCACAACAGCCTTGAACTCCTAGGTTCAAGTGATCATCCTGACTCAGTTTTCCATTTTTAGCAGAGATAGGATCTCACTGTTGCTCAGACTCCTGAGCTGAAGCAATCTGCCCAGTCTTCTCCCAAAATGCTAGGATTACAGGCGTGAGCCATCTTACCCAGTCAGGGATCAGGGGGTGTTTTTCATTGTAGTGTCTCATTATGAAAGTACTTTAAAATTATTTCAAAAGCTAATTTGGCTTATTAAAGCTGCTTCTACCTTGTATATACAATGACCATCTATTTCTCGGTGGCTAATTAATGGTTTACTCCTGCACATACACAAAAGTACAACTTCAAAGTATTTGATAATGTGATAGTGGCTCTTGTTCCAACCTTTGTTCTCCCTTGTGAGGCACAGTCACTGTTCTTCTTGCATGACACACTGAACATTGATCTGCTTCATGCAGAGTGTTGAGCTTTGAGGGAGCTGGGTTGTGGGAGACTATATTGAACACCCTTACAATAACCAGATGTGAATGCAACACATTCCAGGTTGGTCGTATTTGCTTTTCTGCGAATTTTAGTGCTAGGCTATAGCTGACCATGTGCCTGCCTTACTAACTTGCCCTGATGGTGAGCTGAGGAGCAGCACCTGAGTCCCAGGGCCACCAGGGTCTGCAGTTTATACATAGCATAGGAAGTGTCTGACAGTGTTCCTGTAGGACAAGGGGCCTCCACAAGAGACTTGTTGGGTGGGGCGGCGCCTGTGGTTCAGTGGGTAGGGCTCTAGCCCCACATACCAAGGATGGCAGGTTCAGGCCCTGGCGAAACTGTAACAACAAAAAAAATAGTTGGGTGTTGTGGCAGGTGTCTGTAGTCCCAGCTTCTCAGGAGACTGAGACAAGAGAATTGCCTAAGCACAGGAGTTGAAGGTTGCTATGAGCTATGACAACAAGGGACTCTACTGAGGGCAATAAAGTGAGACTCTATCTCTAAAAAAAGAAAAAAAAAGAGGGACTAGTTGGGCCTCTGTAAACTGAGGAGATGCAGCCAGGATGTACATTTCCATTCAAGGCTGAATGGATGTGAACAGCTGTGGTCCTAGCTTAGGTGTGACCTCACCAGTAGTGATTTGGAACGTGTTAGTGGGGGAGAGGTGGTGATTTCACGCATGAGACTTCTCTGTGAACCAAGGGTGGATGACGTGTACCGAAGGATTCTTGGATGAAGTCTTCCCTGGAGTAAATGGCAGCAGTTTACTTAATCTTCATCTTTGTTTTTATAATGAGGAAGAAAATGCTCAGTTACTAATAACAGAGCTCTTTTAGAATCTTAGTGATTAAAAAATCACATAAACATGGAAAGTTACTGTGACTCGTGTTCCACTTTTAGGTGAGTCTGTGGTATGTTGTGCACGGCAGCACTTCTGTGAAGGTTCTAAATGGTGGGTTTTGTATATGCACAGACACACTTCATCTTGGGGGCAGGACGGGGACTTTGGGGTTTGTGAAATCCTTCAGTAATTCAGCAGTTGGGACACCTGGGTGTGGTTTCATTTCTATAACTGCTCTGATAAGAAACCATATGCAGGAGGTCCCTGTCCACTAGACTGAGGGCATGTCCTCATACTTAACACCTGTGGATGCACAGTGATGTCGTATATTTTAGTGCCTGTAGAAATTGTGTCTTCTCCATTTTCTAAAAGTCTCTCAATTTTCCTTTGGATTTATTCTCATTGTATTTGGCAACCTGAAATAGTTTACATATATACCTTCTATATGTTTCATTTTATACATTTTATATCTAGAGGGAGAGCTTAAAGTTACTAGGGAAAGTAAGATATGTCTCTTAATGCCCCCAAAGCTCTTCATCTTCCAATTTGCCAGGTTTAAATCCTGGTCTGTTTCTTTGTGCCTTACTTACCTCCTATAAATTTTGGACAAAAAGCCATCTTCCTCTGCTAGAGTTACTGTGTGGATGGATTATTATTAGTGTACATAAAGCTCTTAGAAAGAGCCAAGCATATGGTTGGCATACATTCCACAGATGTTAGCCACTGTCATTGTTAATGATAGTTTTACTTAGGTGAGCATTAGTTTTATGTAGATTGCTAATCAACTTTTTGTTGTTTTCTTGTGACATTATGGTAAAAAAGTTAGCTGTATGAATCATTTATTGGGAAACTTTTTTTTATAATAGTAATCATCTTTTTTTGTTTGTTTTAGGACAAGACTTAAAACCTATCTTGGATAGAGGATATTTAACCATTTAGCTAAAAATGGTATTTTTTACATGCAATGCATGTGGTGAATCAGTGAAGAAAATACAGGTGGAAAAGCATGTGTCTGTCTGTAGAAGCTGTGAATGCCTCTCCTGTATTGACTGTGGTAAAGATTTCTGGTGAGTTTCATGTAATTCATGTAGGTCCACAGGAAGGGTCCAGACCAGTTTTGGAAGCCTTGGCCCCATAAAAATAGGAAAAATAGAGATAAATTTCAAGAAAGAAATTAAGCAAAAGAACTTGTAGGGTATGTTGATGAAAATTGGTATGATTCTTTGAAAATGCCTTACAAAACAATTTGCTTTTTAAAGATTTTGCCAGGCACAGTGGCTCAAGCCTATAATCTCAACACTTTGAGTCCAAGGTGGGAGGATCATTGGAGGACAGGAGTTTGAGACCAGCCTGGGAACATACCAAGACTTGGTTTCTACAAAAAGATAGAAAAATTAACCAGGCACAGTGACACACACCTACAGTCCCAGCTACTTGGGAGGCTTAGGTAGGAGGCTGCTTGAGCCCTGGAGTCTGATGTTAGAGCCACAGCATTCCAGCCTGAGTCACAAAGTGAGATCTTATCTTGAAATACAATAAAACAGAAATTTTCAAGAGAAAAGTAGGGGAAGGAGAATTCTGGTGATGAGAGCATCTGCTCAGTCGGTGGCACTGATTGTTAATCTTTTTGCCACTGTTCCAAGGCTCAGGGAAGTAGCCATATTGAGGGAGGATCCAGGGGGCTTGGGACTGGTTTTGTTAGATCAGGGGTATCCTCTGTCCATTGCACTGTACAGGTGGACCTAGAGACAACAAAGTAGATTTATGGATTCTCAGAGGAGATAACGTAGCAGAAGAGACCAGGTCCTCCCTAGAAAACCAGAGGTACTGGTAGAGGGGAGTTTCTTCCTGGCACTCCCACAGGGGAGGCCTCCACAGGTGAGTGGTTAGCGGGAGGTATGGCGCAGAGCCTCAGGAACTCACACACTGCTTGCAGCTGGCCATTGCAGAGGGCTGCCCTCTCTGAATGTATGTTGATTCCCTTCAGCTTTAGAGCTGAAAGCTGGCTTATGGCTGCCTCTGCTTTAGTGTCCCCCATGGTATTTAGATGATATTTGCTAATAGTCCATTTTAATTCTTTCTAGAGCAATGATGTTTTGAGGGGAAACTGCTAAAATCTATTGAGACCTAATCCTAACAGGAAGCTTGATATATAAAATAGGTAAAAATTGCCTTGTTTTAATTAGGAGTTTTACCCTCAATCTTGTCCCCACCGTTTTTCTGAGGAACTCCATAGAGCTTTAAAAGATGATGTAAGAGAACACTGAGTTTTCTTTTTTGGAAGACTCTGAGACTTTTGGTGACCTGATACTGCCATTTTATACCAGCTTTAATTTATAGCTGCAACTGACTTTTTTGAGACAGGATTTTACTTTCTTTTTTTTTTTTTTACAGACAAAGTCTCACTTTATCACCCTCGGTAGAGTGCTGTGGTATCACAGCGCACAGTAACCTCCAGCTCTTGGGCTTAGGTGATTCTCTTGCCTCAGCCTCCTCGGTAGCTGGGACAACAGGCGTACACCACAATGCCCAGCTGTTTTTTTGTTACAGTTTGTCCGGGGCTGGGTTGGAACCCGCCTCCCTCGGTATCTGGGGCTGGCGTCCTACTCACTGAGCCACAGGCGCTGCCCAGAGTTTTACTCTTTGACGTGGGCTAGAATGCAGTGGTGTCATCATAGCTCACTGCAAATCTCAAACTCCTGGGCTCAAGTGAACCTCCAGCCTCCTGAGAAGCTGGGACTCCTACAGGTTCATGTCACTGTACCTGGCTAATTATTTTTTGTAGAGACAGGGTGTCACTCTTGCTCAGGCTGGTCTTGAACTCCTGATCTCAAACAATCTTCTCACCTTGGCCTCCCCAAAGTGCTAGGTTTACAGGTGCTAGCCACCTCACCCATCTTACATCTAGTGATGGCCTACTATAGTGCCAGGAAGTCAGATTTCTGTAATTTAAGATAGAACT